GCTCTTCCGATCTCCCCAAAACCCCAAAACCCCAAAACCCCAAGATACTAATTCTAAATAGAAGTTAGTTAGGAAAAAACTAAATGTCAAACCAATATTTTATATAATCTCTCTAATTATTAGCTAATATCATCTACGAATACATTTTTACTCTAATTACTGATATGCGTAAACTCATGAAGAAATCTTTTCTTCCTCATTAGTTCTTATCTAAGCATGACTGCAGCAACTGCTCCTTCTATCATACTCTAGTTTTCACTAAATTAAATTTAATCGCTTTGCTATTCTTAATCACCAATAATATCTTGCACAATCTATTTCAGATTATTGCAATGAATAAACTTAAATGCTTAGTTTTCATCACTTAGCTTTCCTTTATTACAGTTCGCCATAGGATCTAGTACATCCCATTAGTCAACATTACCAACCTCATATACACTTCTCAATTATCCATCTCTCATTTTAGTTTATTACCATAAAGACTATGATCTGTAATGTTTATAGGAAATGAAATACTCCTTTTTGATTAGATTTTATCAAGAACTATGGCATTAACTATTCTAATTTAACTTTATCACATTTTCTGGCTTATCTTAGTAGTGATAAAACGGATTGGATTTTTATTATTGAATATGTTCCTGTAAAATTTACTAATCATATTTGTTAAGTTCTTTTTCGCTCTTTAAATTTATGTTATCCCAGAGACTTAATGATAAAGTCTAAATCTAATTACTCTAATCTACCATTTTGTTAAATTCATCATCAAATTGTAGACTTGCCTTTGTTTTTTATTTACCTGTGATTTTTTAGGTGTCTGTCAAAGGATTATTAATAATTTGGGCAAAATTTTACTAAGTCTATGCTAAAATCGACTCAATATGTGTAATTTTGTTAGTGAAGTAAACTCTATTCGGGTTACTTATTTTTTTCCTCCCAAGAACTGATCCTGAGGTATTTTGGAGATTTGAAGAATTGATTTAAGAATCTTGTCCTTGAATATTATGATCCCAATTCTGCCTTCGATCTTAAAGTACATTTTAAGAATTAGATGTATTGGATTCACTTTAGTCAGGACGATATGATGAACTTGACTCATCATCATAATCGTTTAAGTTTGGACCTTCACCTTAGAATATCTACTATAGAACTGATGTCTCAGATTTTCCTATTAGTAGTTTATTCAACTAAAAATCTTACTTACTCTACATTAGGTCTCTTAAAATATTTGGATTTCCCTTATTGTTATTGTTTTTCATATTGATTTTAAATTTCTCCCTTTGATTTTCATAATTTAACTATTAGGGGTTTTGGGGTTTTGGGGTTTTGGGG